AAAAACCTGTTTCTTTCCTAATATTTGCCTGGTATCTGTGGATAGGAAAAAACTATTTTCGCCACTGTTAAACACCTGATTTAGGGTGTTGTTACATGTTACCTTTCTCAAATATTAAGGGTTCTTCAGACAAGAGTTAAGACAGGAAAAGATGAGCTAAGAGGGCTCTGAGCTTCTCAGGGAGAATCCTCTTCGGATGAGGATGATCTCCAGCTTGTTTTAGGCAGCTTGTATTGCATTAATGTTAGGCTGCTGCAAGGGGGTCAATATGAGTTGTGAGCTGCCCTCCAGAGTCCCAGGATGTACTGGGAACCCAGCCCACCCCACATGGATGATTTATCCTCTGGAGCATTACTACACCAGAGTGATAGCCTGGGAGAGCCAGAAGCCAGGGGAATCCCCACCCTTTCCCTCTGCACCCAGAGGCATGTCCTTTCCCCTGTTCTGGATTCAATCATGTCTCCTCTGGTGCTCACCCTCTTTTTCCCACAGGCTCTTCCCTGGCTCCCAGCCCTGTCCCACGGACAAGGGGAACTCCTTTCCTGCACAGGAGCTGGGCTCAGCCTGGAGAGCAGCAGCAGCAGCACATGGGAGGGTTCCCTCTCCCTGGTTGCTCCCAGGCTGCCAGGACCACCTGGGGCCTGTGTTCAGCCCAGGAAAGCAGCTGGGTGCAGACAGAGAGACCACATCAGCCACTGCCACCACCGCTTCCTTTTGAAGCTAAGCCCAGCTCTCACTCAGTCCCTGGAGTGGGACAGGGGCTCACTAACCCCAAGAACAGTGCCAGCAGCTACAGGTGAGTGAGAAACTGGGAGTGGGGGGTAAGGCCCAGGGGGAGTTGAGTGAACTGAGTGAGCCAGTATAGGGAGAGCTGCTGAAGAGCTGGCAAGAAGGGGGATCTTGGTAGCTTCTAGCTATGCCCTGCTTGCCAGCCCCCTAGCAGCAACTCCAAGCAGTGCAGGTCAGAGAGGATATTAACCCTTAGTGTGCAATCACCCAGACAACATTATAATTTTAATGTTGCCTAGCTTCAGTATGTCCTTATCGTAACAAGTAACAACACTCTTAGGGCTTGTCTTTCAGGCTTGAGTTATTCAGCAGCAGTGGTTTCTCCACTATTCTTAGGATACTCCTAGGGTGGTGAGCTCAGCTTAACACTTACTAATAGGGGTATGTGAAGTGAGCCCTATTCGATTTGGATTCAGATTTGGGCCAGATCAGGGACAGTGATTCGATTTGTTGATTTGGATCCATGTCCCTGATTTGATTTGGCCAAATCCAAATCTGAAGATTCAATGCTGATTCAGGGAATCAGTGATTCGGACATGGACACAGCTTTAAATGTTTTTTCTACATACCTTGAGGTACCAGCGCGGTTTGTGAATACTACAATGCTGGGGCAGATGGAGCATTCCTCAGGAGTGTGGGGGGGGGGGAAGGGGGCCTCCATATGCTCAACGATGAACCCAGAAGTGGACCAGAAATACTTCCGGTTCACTTCTGGGTCTGCCGGGGACCGCACCAGGCACCCCCCCCGGCTCGACAATTGGCAATCCGCACCCTGGGTGCCCCCCCAGACCCAGGAGGCAGCAGTCAGCAAGCTGGGGGGTCACAGGGGAGGGGCGTGGGGAGGCCCCCTGGTGTGCTCCCTGGCAGACCCAGAAGTGGACCCAAAATGCTTCCGGTCCACTTCTGGGTCTGCTGCCCTTGCGCTCCTATTGGACACTCCATGCACCTCAGCGTTCACGAGCCGCCTTCTACCTAGAGGTATGTAGAAAAAAAACATTTAATGCTGTGTCTATGTGTGAATCTCCAAATCTTTCTAAATTTGGAGGGTTCCAATTCGATTTGAAGAGATTAAGGGGTCCTCTGATTTGATTCAGATTCAGAAATTCGGCCACCGGCCCTAGGGCCTGGGAACATCCCTGCCTTTTATACTGGGATTGGGCACTGGATCTAGTGTGCATGTCTTAGGGCTCCCAATGCATCTGGAAATTTGGCAGCAAGGGAGCAGTGACACTGCTCCTTGCCACCAAATTTCTGGACTCATAGGGAGCCCTGCAGGCCAGAAGACATGGTGCCACAAGCTGGATCTGCCCTGCCAGCCACTGGTTGAGCACCTCTGGTTTAAGCTCTAATAATTGAGTGGTTAGGACATTTGCCTTCTAAGTAAGTGACTGTACTGTTAGCCCCCTTTGCACAGAGCATAGGCGCCAACTTTTTTTTTGCTGGTGGGTGCTTGCATGCATAAACCTTACCTCCCAAACCTTACCCCCCCCCCCCCCC